TTTTCAGAGTAGATAAAAGATCTTTAACACCAATTTTCCCATCAGAGACAGAATTGACAGTGTTCCATGCATCTTCTATTCCTATATATGTATCAGTAAAAAAATATAAAGCTACTTAGTAGGCTAGTCCATCCAGATAAGCATGTAACAACCCAATTTGGATGAAATGTATTCATTACAGAATACCCAGTAGTCTTGAGACTTTTTCCTCTGACATAGCTTCCAAACTGAAAACTCCACAAAGTTTATAGTTTAAATGCTTGTACTGGAATACAAGAAACAATGAAAATGTTTTACCTTAAGTGTTCAATTCACAAAGCTAAACAACAACAAATTAACAAAAAACAGCAAATTAACTCCAAAGAAGAATGCCCTCTTTAAACAAACAAAAGAGTAGTCTTTACCCCCTTATCCAAATGTTTAGAAAGAATGACAGCACTTTTGCTGAGATGCTCATAAATTGTAGCTTAATTAGATTAATTTTAAGTATCATCCACATATAATTTTTAATCTCCTCTGTATGGCTGCCAATTTATTTATATCGTTCCTCTTTGTTTTTTCCTTCATCATACTTCCTAAAGATTTCTGCATTTTTATTAGTCTTTTTAAAGAACCAACTTTTGGCTACATGGGTAATTTTTTATGTGTGTTCTATTTCAGAAACTTATACTTTTATCTTTATTAGTTCCTAATTACTGCTAACCAGAAGGCTGGAGATTCAAACCTACCAACCACTCCTCGGAAGGAAGGTTGGGCAATCTACTTCCGTAGTGATAACTGCCTCAGAAACCCAAGGAGGGGTTGCTATGAGTCGGGTCCGACTCCACGGCAGTGAGGAATTACTCCCTCTGGGGGGAATGTTTTTTGCTGTTTTATTGTTATGTTACTGTTTAGCTGCATTCACTGAACATTTAAGATAATTTATGTTCACTATTTTAAATAAGAAATGTTGTTGTTGTTGTTGTTATTTGCCGTCGAGTCGGCCCGACTCATAGCAACTCCTCCTTGGGTTTCCAAGGCAGTATCACTATGGAAGTAGATTGCCCAACCTGCCTTCTGAGGAGTGGCTGGTGGGTTTGAACAGCCAGCCTTCTGGTTAGCAGTCAAGTGCCTTAGTCACTATGCTACCAGAGCTCCTCAAATAAGAAATAGTGAAAATGATCTAATAAAAGCATTTTTGGCCATAAAATTTCCTATAAATATTGCTTTGATCATATTTTACATGTTTGCATGCTTTCATTGTCATCCATTTCTAAATAATTTCTAATTTCAGGTATTACTTGTTTTTTAACCAAAGATTAGAAGAGTATTTGTTTTTCATCTTGAAAGTAAACACTTTTTCAATATTATTTTATAAATAATTTTATTACTATACTTTTGCCTCACGGGCATAAGTGTAAATGTAATTTATATAAAGTATTTTGTGCTATAAATTTATTCTATTTTTTCTCTTTTTTCCCCCACTGAAGCGCATGTGAATGAGATCTATCTATGGTGCAAATGCAAATTAAGTTTATTGTTTGAGATCTATTGTATGGATAGGCCGTATTTTATTTAACTTTTTCCTTGTGAGGGATATTTATGCTACTTTCATTTCTACCATCCCCCAGTGTTGCAATGAAAATACTTGAACATGTCTCCACAGGAAATTTGCTCTGGACTATTTACCTACCATTGGCAGTACACGATGAATGAGCATTCCCAATTTTCATACACTACCAACCATCTGGGTTTCTCTTTCCATAAACTGCCTTCTTATATTCTTACCAATTTTTCAAATGATTTTTTTCCTTTATATTATTGATTTGCAGAATTTGTTTATATATTCTGAATATTAACCTTTCTCACTTCTAAAAGTTGCAATTATCTTTTTCCAACCTGTTACATATCTACTATATCAGAGTCCTTCATTGAACAGAAAACTTTAACTGTGATGTAATCAAATCCTTTTTTAAT